GGAGCACGAAAGGAGCGCAGGGGAGTGATTAATAAACGAGTGACTTATAAAGTTTCCAAACGTGTTGCATGTAGTTTTTGGGACATTTTTGTGTAACAGAGCATACATTCACTGACCTGACTGTCGGAATTGGTAATATAAAAGTGGCTCGAATCCGCCGTGGAAACTGAGGTGGTAAAATGACATTTTCCACATGTTAGATCGGTGTATAATTGGGCATTTTAGAGAAGAGAGTAGAAAAAGAGACTTTTTACTGTTTTAATATATATAAAACATATAAATTTACAAAGAATAACCCAACTAGTGACCATAAAATTTAAATAAATCAAAGTGTTCTTATTAGTAATAATAAATATATCGAAACTTAATCACCGACAAGAATTATTTCTTTGGTGTTTTTTAGTCTATTTATCAAATAATGATAATTATTTTACTCCCACTTCTGCTAAATAATCTTTGGTTTAATTTTATTTTTTTAACGTTTATTTTTTTTGGTTATGTATTTACGGGTATTAGTATGAATTGCGTTATATTGTAGTATATTGTGATATTGTGGCTTGTATTGATTGATAAATAAAATTATTATTATTATTATTATTATTGCGGTTTTCAAATATAACTTTATCTTTTACTCCCTAGGTGCAATAAAGCCTGCATGTCAAAGCAAGGCGCACTAAATAATTCCCAGGTTGCCTGTAAGTTGCAATTCTGGAGACAAATCTAGTGACTTGTGTCACCAATCCACTAAATGTCAACGTTGCTTTGGTGTCGTAATTTTGCTTTTTGAAAATCAAAGTCAGGAAACACCAGCTAAAAAATTATGATAATTCAATAATATCTGTACCGGCAGGTCTATCCGCTGCTCCACAAAAGATATTGTGATCTTCTTATTGCTGATAATCTATGCATTTTTATGTTCTTTCTCGAAAAAATCAAAGGGATTAAATGATATGAATGGGCTATAATAGTGGTGAAAAGCTCAAATTTCTATATTTCTATGATTAAAATGAGCTTTTAAGGGAAATGTAAGAACTAGATTTGTATTATTTGTATTATTATTAATGTGCCTAGCAAACAGTAGCATACCTGCATACTACATTTATCACGTGTGATACAGGCAGGCATATAGGAAAAATATATAAAGTGTTTATTTAAAACATATACGTTTGTTTTTCCACCACAACTAATTGCGCGTGGAGAAAAATAAGGTTATTTTTTCTCTATTGAAAAATATATAAGGTTTTCCATTTAAAAAGAGTATTTTTGTTTTTATGTAACACTTAGTAAAATCACTAATTATTTACCGATCTAGCGTGCGGAAGGTGTCACTTTACCACGTGAGTTTCTTGTCCCACGGATTCGAGCCACTTCGGATATTTCCGACATATTACCGCGTGGGTACACTTCACTCGTTTATTAAACATTCGCTCCGCTGGTGACAAGTAAACTCGTATGTCAAATGCCGTCAGCTTGGTGCATAATATAGTATTAAAATCTTTCTCTTTTGATTTTATTTATAAACATTTTTTTTAATAGAGGTAAATTACTTTACTACACTTTTGCACCTCCCCTTGGATGAATGAGATAAAGATACCCTAGGTAATAATGATCGTGTGAAATACGATTAAGGCAAACTGTCAAAATTATGTTTCTGTGAGGTGGTGCAAAGAATGAACAAAAAAAATCTGACCAAAACAATATTCGTTAACATATTCTTTTTGATGAGTAAAATTTTCGTGAATCTTCTGTCGAATAAGTAGGTTGTTTAGAAATTTAGTTTTTCTCCAAATGAATATTTTGACTTACTAGTATTCTTATACTTAGTATCTAAATCGAATCAACAACGGTGTAGAGTTTGTAGAATTTAAATTTGCGATCTACTTACAAATTCGAACATATTTTAATTATACGCATATAGCTCATATATATATTAGATTGAGGTACTTTTCTTAATAGCATTGAGCGCTGCCCACCGTTTCTTGTAAATAACATTCTATTAAACATAATTTATCTAATTCTATTAACACATTCGTTGCGCTGAGACGTTAGACGATATCACTTAAATCTTGTCGGCTCCTGTATCGAATTAGTAGACTGTCTGAACCGTTAACTACCCCTTAATTAAGGGTTACATATGAAACAATTAGGAGGACGATTCTAATATTTACCGGACAGGAAACGGACAAATGAGGAATTTCAAATCAACCACGGGGTTCATTTAAGTCGGTTTTCAGTGCATCATCGCTGACGGCTTTAACAGCACTGTACTCATTTTTTTGTGGCGTGTTATTCATGCTTTGAGATAATATTTATGATAAAATTACTATCAAAGAGTTAAGAAAGTTTGCTTGTCTTGTCGTTGTAATCAAAATTTTCGAAAGCATCTTCACTAAATCTCGGCAACGGTAGATGGTACGAGAACCCCATTAGTACAGTTTTTTTTTGTTACTGCGTAACGGAACTGAATTAGCCATAACTCAGGAAGCGTGTGAACCACAAAATATGAGCCCAATACGACCACGGGAAGTCTAATTTTGCATACATTTTTCTTCTATTTTCGTGCCACACTAGAAAGTATCTACTAAGTGTCCGAAATTTGCAGTTGGGGGTGAGATTTGGCAAAGAGGTAGATATCGTTCCTTATAGAACATTTATTGAAATTAAGCGGGATCACACAATTAGAAGTATATTTAGAAATTCGAAGAAACGTTGATTGGTGCTCGAAAAAAATCTTCCGTGCTTGTGCGCGAAACTTGCAGCTATTGACTTCAAATTCGGCAGGGAAGTTTTTTTGTTCAAATGATAAAATATTTTGGGTTGTTTTGGGTTCCTGACAAAAAAAATATTTTCTCGAAAACTATTTCCCCTAGCGGAAAAATTCTTGAACCGGAAACCGTTGGAGGTCCGGGGGTATAACTTTATTTCTGGATTTTTTTCTGTAGAAGCTGCGTCGGTTATGAAACAAAAAAAGTCCCTGAAAATTGCCTATTTCGAGGATAAATTATTAGTCGTAAATGAAAAATCGTAAAGATTTTGTTGGAAAATATGTTTTTTTTTTAATTTCAAAATTTTTAAATAACTTTGAAGTTAAAGGCGGTTTTGTAGAGGACGAAGCGCGTATACTCGATTTTTTAATGAAAATTTACAAAGAAATTGGGCATCAAAAATTTCAATTGCAAAATATCTCTTCCTTATTTTCACTAAAGTTAAAAGAAATTCATTTTTAATTGTGTGACGTAGCATAACTTGTAATCACGCCAGTTTATTTTGAGTTACTAATAACTCATAATATGTAGTAATAAATAGTCTCGTTCATTTTACGCTTTTTCATTCACTGCTAATAATTTATCTTCGAAAAAGGCGGGAGGGAATTTTTGTTCCATAACATAAGGCATCATCAACAACTGAAACAATTAAGAAGTGAAGGAAGGAAAAAATAAAATCTCTATTGCAACAAATACTCAAAATCGTTTTTCTTTAACTGACGCGGCTCAGGCGCAACTCGCTAAATATAATATAATATAACTCTGAACTTTAGCAGATGTTAAAAAGTTCCATTTTCTTGCGTAAGTGGGACAATGCAAAACATATAATGAAATCACAGTAAGTATCTTTGGCTCTCCCAAGAGGTCTCTACAGGAAAACATATTATTTTTAAATGTTATCGTTCTTATGATTCGTTTTTGGGCAATCACCTCCCCGATTTGCCCGATTGTCACCCCAAGCGACCATAACATAGTGTGCAGTTAATATGTGCATAATAAAAGGATGGATTATTATTTAGTCATCAATACGAATTAGAAAAGGGAGCGACCCCAAAACGCTGCCCTGTGGTACACCTCTATCAATTACAAGCCACACTGAATGAAATTCATGTCGCCCCCGTCTTAGAGTCACTCTCCGCATCCGTCCCCCCAAATAAAGGATAATCAACGAAAAGAAAAACCCCTCACTCCATATATAATAAATAATTAGCAAAGGAAAAGATATTTTGTAATTTTTTAGCATTATATTTAGTTTTATTTGCTACTCTTAGTAAGGATTTGGCCCTTCACTAGGCTGAATAACTGCCTCATTGCATAAGCTCCGCACCCCTGTGGTGTTGATTTTCTTTACAAGTTATTACAAATTAAAATTTTTTGTATTGTATTTTTAATTTTTTCTATATAACGAGATAGATTTTGAAGACAGCACAGAAGCATATACTGGCTGAAAATAAAATATCGGCATAAAAATGTGGAAATTATCCCTATACTCAAAACTTCTTAGGTGTCCCACTTTATCTTGGGTTCAGTATACAGTGTGTTTCAAAAAACGTTCCTATGTTTTAGGGCAAATAGAATATTAAAAAATTACGTTAGTTTGGTTAATAAACATGTTTTCGACAACGGCAGATGCCCTATAAAAGGTGTCCTGAAAAATGTTTTTTCCATTGTTTCTCAAACCTTGTAGATTATACTGCAGAAAAAATTAAAAATTTTTGGATGTGACCTTCGCTTGAGGGGATCCCCAAACTTTTTTTGAACAAATAAAATATTTTTGAAACTAAACAAAACTAAACAGGTTTTCATAAAAAATGTATTTAAAGTAAAAAAAAATGGCTGCCCAATTCATAAATTATTTTAAGTAATTTTCATATATGAGAACCAACTATCTTAGATAATAATAATGCAAGATTTTTTTACAGAGCCTTCTGAAGGAAGCGTTTTCAGAAGCCCTAGAAATTAGCGGAGCAAAAAACATCGTGCATATTATATTTTGCAAATGACGCTTCTCACGACGTTTAAAAGACAAGGGGTTGGTCTAGCCGTTTCAATTCGCGGCAACACCCTCAAAAAGTACCGGCCCTCGTCCCATCTAATTGCCCCAAAACGGAGGAAGTGGTTATAAGCATTGTTTGACAACGTAATTACTTTTTGTATGTTATGCACTTGTCGCGGTAAGTACAGTGGGGGCGGTCCCTAACTCTTCGCGTTCTCCTACTCTCGTCGACACCGCGGAACGCGCCTCAGTCAATTCTTTAACTACGTTGTGGGCAGCTGTTAAATTAGCGCGCTCTTTTCAAGCCCGGTTTAAACTGACGGTTAACGAGATGTTTTTCGGTTAGCGAAATCACATTTTCGCTGGAAAATGAACAAGATTTACAGGATTTGCGTTGTCCTAGTGATCTGTTTTGTGAAAAGTATTCTTGGGAACATCGATTATGTTTACGAGGACGTCAAGTCAAAGGTTGAACTACAGTGCGTTCAACATTGCCCCTTGCAGGTAGGAAACAACAAAATGTTGAGAGCACTATAAGTCTAAATCGATGATATCTGAGTCAATGATATTGAGCGCCATACATTCGAGCTACAGGTGTATGTTGCGTGCTTTATATTTTGGTCTATCGACGTCGTCGGCAGCAAAGCGTGAACACCACCTGTGCCTAAGTCCATCATAATACATTACCAAGTACCTACAAAAATAATGTCACATTATAAAGTTAGGATTCATTGAACTGACTAGGTACCGGTTAGGCTCCTTTATTGCTTTGGCGCCATCCGTTGGAAATGAAAGTATTAAGACGCTCATCAAACATACTTACACTCAAAGGAACTTAAAACTTTATATCCGCTGTGGAGGAAGCGGTCCGGCATAAGATTAGCCAGAGAAAAAATTGTGAAGTTCACATCAGCATCAGCAAATTGGACATTCCAGCATGTTCGCTGACTGCATGGTAATTTTCCCAAAACAAAAGTTAATTATTTCTTCGTTTTGCCGGGTCATTTAATATATTGAAAAACTAGATACCAACAAGGTTCACAAAATTTGACTTACATTTGACCCATAGCTAACAAAAGTATATAGGTAAATGGAATAATTTAACGTCACCTTAAGTTCCTAACTCTGTTGTTACTTCCACAGTACTTATCGGAGCTCCATCCAGTTGTAACTCGACTCAAAACTGGCAGAAGATTTTTACAGGAATTTTGTTTTATTTTCAACTCCTAATCATTTAGCTGCAGAAACATATATGATGTATGACATTGAAATTACACCCGGTACGTGTAAATATATATTTTAGGAAGTAGTTGGGATAAATGTAAATATAAACAAATCTACGAGTATTCAAAGCGATTCTTAAAAAGTTAATAGTTAAAAGAAGTGTTAGGTATATTAGTTTATCGGAGAATGATTTTAATAAGTGTAGCGATGTGTGGTGTGACTTTGTCTTGCCGAAAGGTCAAACATTGCGGTTAATACTGTTATGGCAACAAAAAGGAAATTATAATGTCGCATTGCTGAAAATATTTTAGTTTGAAAGAATAACAGTGCTTATATCAACAACCTAATTTTTAGCGTTGTGTTGGGATGTTGAAAATATTCATTTTAGATTACGATGCCCGCAATGGCACTTCCGTAGTCAACTACGCAGAGTTCCTCAATTAAGTATGAAATCGCTTTTATGCAAGTCTGATTTTGGAATTAACCGGGAAAGAAAATTTGTGGCCGGATTAAGCATAACTACGTTTTGCTAATAATGTAATTCTTAATATAAAATCAATCTTGAAGTCACATGTTAGTGTAATTTTTTTTGGCATCTGTTTCAATCATCCCGACCAGGACTAGCCAGAAGTACTCATAACCTGGTTGAGCCAAACAAACCATCTACAAGGTTAAGTTAGGAATCGCAAAACGGCAAACAGCTCAGGATGAGATGAAATGAGATCCAGAAGACACTTTGAATAGTTCTCGAATGAATCAGCATGTAAGCCAAACAGCGGCAAACGTGTGTAGATATTCAAAGTGTTGTGAATAATATAAATAATCGTGGTTTATTTCAAGCACCGAAACCAACTGCAAAAATAAACTAATAAAATCTGTTAAGGCGAGTTGTTCCATACTCGCGGTGTTTGTTAAATACGATCGCAACAAATAATTATATTCATTAAATAGAACACTGCAAATATCCAAACATTTTTCTTATTGGCGTTTTTTAATAATATAAAAATGGTCACAGCGAAAATGGCTAGAATCATGCCAATGCCAATTTAAAAAAACATCTTAAAAACTGACATTTTCAATTAAGAAGAAAGAAGAAGAAAATTTGTTAGGAAAAAATGAATCCGAAATGCGATTTTGTTCACTAATTTCAACCTCGGTTTTAATTGAACACAAAAATTAGTTTGTATACATGTAATAAGCAACTCTCTAAAGACACGTGTGAATCAACTCTTAAGATAGCTTAAAGCAAAATCTAGTAGAATATAGATCTTATAGTATTTTTTCGAAAACTTAAAATTAACGCAATTACAGAGTGTAATATTTTTTTAATTAACTTCATAATTATTTTTCTAGTTTCCCTTTAATGTCTTAGGTGCCAATGAACCTAAGAAAATGTTATGAAATTGGTTGCATATATATATATATATATATATATATATATATATATATATATATATATATATATATATATATATATATATATATATATATATATACAAACTTCAGTAGTATTGTCTCTGAAATTTTAATTTTTTAAGCAGGTGCTCTCGCCGCACTTCCAAAATTCCAAATCTAACATATTTTTAAGATTAGATGTTCACAAAAAACTATGAATCGATTAAACTAATTGATTTGCACTCGTATTACGTTTTTAGTAAGTTTTAGATAAGCGCTAAACGCCATAAAACACATTAAAATGTATTTGAAGATTATCAAGTTACTGACCGATGACCATCGCCTATAAATAACATAATAAATAAGTTAAAAGAACTGAAACTACGATATCTACTTCGAGTACACTTTCAAATTTTCTATTCAACGCATTGATCTGCAGTGGAATGCCCAAATTTTAGGCCCACTTTTCGCGTTTAAAGCGATTGGCACAGGAGTTGACTAACACGATAAATTACAATGAAAGCTAAAACGGTTTTAAGGTCGCCCATTAACATCGAGTTAAAGTGTTTTGTTAATAATTGTTTAATAAATGTATCTCTATTGGAGAATGAAGGATATACACTCTTTTATTAATAAACGCGCCAAATGAAAATTGTCACTAAACAACTTGAATGAATTGTTGTTACAGCATAATTTCACGACCGTTTCGTGCATTTTACACGTTGTTGCAGAAAAACAATTTACGATTTTCGTTCTCGCTTTAGCCAAGAAGCTCAAAAAATATTTAATTTGTTATGTTTAAAATACACCATTCTGTTTACACATTTTGCGTTCCACTGTAAACAAAGTTATCAAAAACAGGCCGATATTTGGAAACGTTCAGAGGCCTTCTGTTTTAGGCTAGTCTGTAATCGTGCCAGCCACCGTAATTAAATTTGAAAGATAAATTGCGGCGTTGATGATGATAGACAAGTACCACCACTCCAGCGTCGTTTGACATACGAGTACCTGCCGCCCTCAAGTGGTTAACTGTTACAAAGCCGTATTCTACGTCTAGGGATTATTCGAGAACATTTTTAGATTTTAATAACGCAACCATTAAGACCCTTTTGGTTAATTTACTCGGTAGCTTAATAGTGTGTCAAATTACTATGTCTCCCTAATTTATAACCGTTTTAAGAATAAACACCAAATAATTTCTTGTTTTGTCCAAAGTAGTACTAAAGCCTTCTCTATTCGTCGTGAATCATGTATATGTATACTAGTTTTTAGTTAGCTATTGTCACTCCACCAATTAATATAAATGTTTCCATAATATTCATTTTGATTTAAAAAATATACTTATCGCTATCTAGTGAGCCCGAGTGAGAGAAAATTTAAGTTAAAATTTTTTACTAAACTCTTAGTAATGACTATGGTAAGGTTTAAGGTTTAGCATGTTTTAAAAAATATATATTAAATCAAATCAAATATCAAAAGCAATCAACATTTCTTTTATTATGCCAAAGAAATATTTTTGTATTGCAACGCTTTTATGAAACGTCCTACAAAATTTATTTTAGGGAACTCTTATTGAAATATTTTTTTTTAAATAATAATAAATAAGGAAGACATACATACATACATTGTATGAGTGAGCTGGGTCAACTTTGATTAAATATTCATCACCATTATTATTCCCAGTTTATAACTTTCTTAAATAACTGTCACTATAACTTAAATTAACTAAACGGCATTAAAAATTGTTGCCAAATGAGTTTCAAATAATTTTCAGCTCTTTTGTAACATGACAAAATTAAATTTAGTCTTAATATCAAGATAGATTTTTGGTAAAAAAATATGAAGTAATACAAACCAGTCAAAGTACACCTTCCACTGGCACAAGCAGTTGTATATATCTAACAATATATTCGGTGTATAAATAATTAGGATGCATATTTCAAGGTAACTCTGTAATTTTCTCGAAAATAACATTGCGATGCGGCAAATTCGTGTTAAATTTTTCAGCGAATATTTTTCAAATAGAGTGAAAGCATAAACGGATTATGTGCCAATGGTAAACAGAAAACCAATTTTGATTCAGGTGTATTTATTAACTTTCAAAAATGTGATGATCATATTACTATATTTTGCTAAATATAATTTCAAATCGTTACTGAACATAATTTCGAATGCTTGTAGGAAATTAGAGCTTAACACTCTCGAGTGGAAGAAAAAACAAAATAGGCCTGTAGGAAGCGTGAGGAAATACTTTTTACTTCTTCTATAACTTTATCAATAGCGGTCAACCTAATTGTGGAATCGAAAGAGTAAAAGTTACGCCTTTTTTAATATTATTTAAACTTTGCAGATTTAGCCTTCGACAACTTCAAACTCAACTCAAAAGTTATGGAGGAGGACTAACTTCAAATTAGGCATTTGTCTCACGAAAACCAATTTAGCACCTCACATTTAAATTCGGATCCAGCACAAAATCCTAACAAACTTATGTTGATGTTCATACTAATGTCATATAGTATTTGGAAAAAATATATATTAACATTTTTTAAAAAATCACCATGCAAATAAAACTTTTCAACGTAAATATATGATTTTTTGAAATGTATTATTGATAAAAATACCTTTTTCAATACAACATCCTGCAAGTATTTTTCTTTCCAAACCATAAATGATATATTTGATAGATGTAGGTTAGTTTTGAAAGGTTAATAAGGTATAATAGGGTGTTCCAAAATTGATACGGTGTTTGGAGTAGCTCTGGCAATGCCGAATGCGAACAATTTGCTATAATATAGAATCGATTATACTGCCGAATAGCAAATTTCTAATCGCTCCCTTTCTTAACTCTCGAGCATAACATACTTCAATATTTTATAAATATTCGC